GTGGAGCATTTATCTTTGTGAACTGTGTTATGCCATTAGACTAAGTAATCCCTGAAGACTATGGTTGCAGACTTTTTTTTTTTCCTTTTCTTTTTTCATAGTTTATCTCCTGAATGCTCTTTTTTTTTTTTTTTTTTTTAATTTTACTGTGATTTGGGTGAAAGTTCACAAAGCAAATTCATCTTCCATATAGCAGTTGACATACACTTTGTCTCATGATGTTGACTTGTAGTCTCCCACAGTACGACAGCTCTCCTCCCATTTCCTCCCGATAGCCACCTCTTCCCTGTGTCCTTCCCTCTCATGCACTACTGCCCCCCCCCAGCTGTCTCCCTGTGCATACACAGCCCTTCTTTTCTCCCATGATTGATCTCTCCAAGGAGTGTATCTACCTAATGTAAGTGTTCAGCTCATATGCCTGTCTTTTGTTTTGTTGGAAGCCACAGGAATGGGTTCAATTCCAGACCTGAAGGGCAGCTAGGGGCTGTAGTCTCTGGTTCCACCAGGCTCTATCAGACCAGCAAACCTGGTCCTTTTTTTTTTTGTCTTATGATTTTGAGTTTTGTTCCACATTGTTCTCCCAGTCTATCCAGGACCTCCTACATAGATCCCCTTGTGAGTGGTTGACGGTGGTAGCTGGGCACCATCTAGTTCTTCTGGTCTCATAGTCATATAAGCTGAGGATCTAATTGTTTCCATGAGTCTTTTGTTTTCTTCATTCTTCTTTGCTGTGGACGAGGAGAGACCCATCATTGCATCTAGATGGCCCCTTGCAGCTTTTAAGATCCCAGTTGCTACTTGCCAAAGTAGGATGTGGAACAGTGTTTTTGTGTAGTATGTTAAGCCAGTTGAGTTTGATGTCCCCTTGGTCGCAATGTTTTAACCCTCTAAACCAACCTTATGAGTTGTTTGGATGTGTCTAGGAAGCATTCATAACTGTGCCACTTACATGATTTGTTTTATGTGGATATATGGGCAGCACATAAAAATGTGTATATACATATAGTTACAGATCCCCTGTGCATGCATGTGCATTTACTTGCATATGCCTTTCTGTCTATATATATGCATCCATATCTATCTATGTAACCGCATGTTTTATGATTGTCTTTACAGTTGCCAAATTATATATGTCAAATCTCTTCCTTAATGTGAAAGGTGTTCTGGTGGCACAGTGATCAAAGCATTTGACTGCTAAATAAAATGTTGATGGTTTGAACCCACCAGCCTCTCTGCAGTGTGTTTCTATACAGATTTACAGCTTTGGAAAGCTTCAGGGGCAGTTTTCTGTGCTACAGGATGGCTATGAGTCAGAATCGACTCAGTGGAAGTTTTTTTTTTTAAAACTCGGTAACGAAGATTTCAGTCTTTGTGGTCTCCTCTTGGTTCTTTTTGTAAGCAGGATAGTCTAATCATAGTGATATCTACAATCCTATACTATTAGAGAAGAGAGGGGCATTGGTGTTGACTCAGTTCTAATCTTCCAGCTCCCTGGCACCTGGAAACCCTAGAAGATCATAGATTGTTCAGAAAATTCCAGTCTGGGACCTGTGTTTCTTGACACCCATTCTTGGCTCTCCAGTACAACAAGCAGTATGTTTTTTTGAGTCATATAGTCTTTGAAGGAGCTCTGGTAGCATAGTGCCTAAGGCACTTGACTGCTAACCAGAAGGCTGGCGGTTCAAACCCACCAGCCACTCCTCGGAAGGAAGGTTGGGCAATCCTACTTCCGTAGTGATACTGCCTCGGAAACCCAAGGAGGGGTCGTTATGAGTCGGGGCCGACTCCACGGCAAAAAGCTACAACAACAACAATAGTCTTTGATGTCAAACCAAGCTGTGTTCCTTGGCTGTGTAACCCTGGGGCACATTTCTTACTCTTGTGAAGTCTGCTTTTCCTCATCATTAATATAGGAATAATAAACCTACTTTACAGCATGGTTGTAGGGATGGAACTAATGCAGATAAAGCAGCTCGTACAAAGCCTGGCACGGAGGATGCCCTAAGACAATTATCCAAATCCAGAAACCAAAACTATTGCCATTGAGTTGATTCCAACTCATAGTGACCTTATAGCACAGAGTAGAACTGCCCCCACAAGGTTTCCAAGGCTGTTAATCTTTACAGAAGCAGACTGCCTCATTTGTCTTCTATGGAACACCTGGTGGATTTGAACCACCAACCTTTTGGTAGCTGAACGCTTACCACTGTAACACCAGGGCTCCTTAAGACAATTATGTTGTTGTTGTTATGTGCCGTCGAGTCGGCCCCGACTCATAGCGACCCCTCGCTTATAGCTCTTATTATTTCCATTTTGGGATTTAGTCTGTATTTTTACAAAGCAAAAAGAGCCACATCATTTCAAAACAGTGTATCTACACCAGTCAAACATTGATGTTCCAGTAAGTGATTCTTTTATTCATTGTAGGACCATGCATAGTAATTTTGTTAAGTACTCTTAGGTAATATTAATTATGATAATTTTAATTACTTAATATGTTTTAAAAATTATGATCATCTGTTGGTGTATTTGGGAGCTCTGGTGGTGTAGTGCCTAAGGCATTTAACTGCTAACCAGAAGGCTGGTGTTTCATACCCACCAGCCACTCCTTGGGAGGAAGGTTGGGCAATCTACTTCCCATAGTGATACTGCCTCGGAAACCCAAGGAGGGCTCGCTATGGTGGGCAGTTTTTGTTTTTTTTTTTAATAGGTATATTTGTCAAATTAGCCCCTATATTCTTCTGTATTAACAGTTTTAACCCCTATAAAAAAACAAAAAAAGTTAATTTATCAAAGATATAACAAAGTCTCTCCCATAGAGAAGCTGTTTTGTTCTTTTAGGTAAGTGTAGTTTAGGTCACGGCACTAGTTTGTGTTCCACTGAATATGTGTGTGTACTTTTCCATGTTGATGCCAGCCACGCTTATCTTGTAAACCAGCCTCCTATTGAATGGACATTTGGGTGGTTTTCAGTTTTTTACTTGAGAGTAAAACAGCTATTTTGTAAAAATAAGTTGTTTTTTTTTCCTTTTGAGTTATTTCTTAGGATTGAATTCCCGAGGTAAAATGAAGGACTACAGATTTGAGCAGTTTATGGCTTTAGTTGTACATTTGTTGGGCTAAATTTAAATTTCAGGTTCTGAAGCAGGTCTTCTTAAAAGCACTGCTCTGTCAAGTGGGGAGTTCTAGTACCTGCTAGCTCTTGTTCTTGTTAATGGAGGTTCCTAGTGAATATTTTGAGGCATATAAATCCTCAGTAATATCTAAATATGAAGAGGAAATGATTTTGGTACTATTTTCCTAGTATTTAAAATGTTGGTCATCTGTGTTCCTAGGAATAAGCTAACGGTCTATAATATAGCAGGCATTGGCAGACATTTTCTGTAAAGGACCAGATAGTAAATATTTAATGCTTTGCAGGCCATATAATCTCTGTCAGTTACTCACTTCTGCCCTTGTGGTGTGAGTGGTGTGAAAGCATCCGTAGACAATATATAACAAATGGGTAGGACTATATTCCAGTAAAACTTTACTTACAAAAACTGATGGTGGGCTAGATTTAGCCCCTAGACTGTATGCTGGTCTATGGCATCTGGACCCAAAGATTGAAGCTTGGTATGTATAATGGTCCACAAGCTACAGGAAAGAACCAAGTATATAAAAATTTAGTGTGAAAGAATTCTGTTCTGGTTTACAAAGAAATTAGATCATACATTCCTGCCCCTTGTGAAGCTGGACTACCCAAACAAACCACTGGCCTGCCCTGCACTCCCCTGGTTCTTATGTTGTGGGCTGTGGAAGGAAGGGTCTGACAGCAGAGTTGAGCAGGCCCTTTAGAAAGTCATGGTGACACCCTCAGAATCCTCTTGGGGTTTTTGCTGCAGCAATAGGCCTGTCTGGGCCATTGGTTAACGGTGTGGTTTCCCTGGGCCTTGCTTGTCAGGCTTTGGCACTTCTCAAGGGGAAGGAAAGAAAATAAGCTGCTGAGGAAAAAAGCAAGAGTACAGCAGAGTCAGTTTCATAGCTTCTCATAGTTTCTGCCCTGGGAGAAAAAGGGGAATTGTACTGATCAGAGGCAGGATAAGGAAGTAATCAACACCTGACTCACTGGGAGCATTGCTAATTTGCCTCCTCCGGAGGAAAGCTGTGCTGGTCCCCTGGCTTGGCAGCAGGACAGTCATGGGAATTGGGTTTCCTGAACCCTGTGCCCAGCTTTGAGATGCTCTTTGCTTCCCACTGAAGAATGGACAGTGAGGAGGGCCTAGCTTCTGTCCTCCCTCTCAAAACGAGTGAGTGAGTGAGTATACTTCTCAATTGCATGACTGCTCTTCCATAGTGATTCTCTCTGTTACAGGCTTCTTGGAGAGGAGAATAGACCTCTTCTAAAAGGTACAGGATCTCACAGCATTACAGTGACAGAATTCTGTAATTTAAAGTTTTGTCCTTTAAGAACAGAGAGGATCATGGTGGGTATAATTGATTAAACTTTATACCAAAGCCCATCTTTTATTTTGTGCTTTCAGTATGGTAGCTTTTACTAACTTTTTTATTCTCTAAGTGGGACCTTAATCATTAATATCAAAGAGATGGAATAAAGTGTTTGTTTTTGTTCCCAGCTTTCTTTTTGGAACTCTCCTTTCTTCCCTTCCTGTTGAATGTAGCAAAGCAACTGTCTTTTCTCTAACCATCATTACTTCCCTTCTTGAATGAAGGAAGTCTGTCCAGAGGAAGAGCTCCTTCCTATAAGAATTGCCCTATGGTTTGGGGTTTTCCTATGCCTTTATGCAGGGCACATGTTGTTTATGTTTGATATTTGCTGTCTTGGATTTGGTTTGAGCATTCACTAGCATTGAACTTAACTTGAGTGGACAACAGTGTAATTTAAATCCATTTCTTATGTTGTGTGAATTTTGGTATTGTGATAGGTGGAAGACACTCATTCTTCATCTACCCCTTTTTTCAGTATCTGGCACCAATTTTCGCCCAGTCATTTGTGATCCATGGCTCTTGTGATATGCCGAAGATTTCCAGGCAGTTTCTGTGGGACACCTCCCCGACCAACTCTAATCAAGTACCATACCAACAAGAAATTGTCTGGTCAGACCTGGGAGGACTGTGTTTTGACTGGCAAAAAGATCAGTACTGACACCAGAATGGGAGCCACTCTCAAGCTGTTAAAACCTTTAGGATATCAAGGGTTTTGCAGTCCTCTTGCCTACAGTGCAACCCAAAGTGTGGCATATTGGAATGTGGGAAGCAGCACATGGCCCAGGGGACACGGCCCTACAAAACAAGTTGAGAACATTTGTAGCACCTCCTCTTCTCGGAGGATCCTGACAACCAGCCATGCCCTCCTGGGTTGGGAATTCAGCAAGGCCTCTGCCTCTAAGGCCAGCACGTTGCAGCCAGCCTCACCAGGCACCACGAGAGTTGAAAAGGACGTGGAAGTCTTTGATTCCTTTCAAGATCCTCGAGCTTTCCTACAGCTGAGACCAGAGTACCAGCTTCACAGCTATAACAGATCTGAAACTGGTCCGCCCCTGTCAGTTTCAGAAGGTGAACTAATTTTGCACCAAATCACAGTTTTTCAAAATAATCTCCAGCCCCAAGTCATTGCTGATTATTTCTGTAAGCTGAGCTCTTTGCCTGCAGAGCAACATCCTGTTTTGCTGTCCGGTACTAGCTTTACTTTGCTCTGCCAGCTGAGTGTGAAAAACATAGAGCTCTTTGAGACCCCAGATCTGATCTGCAGTTTGAAAGCCTTTGTCAGTTTAGGAATCCCTCATTCCCATCCAATGCTAGATGTGTATGAAACCAAAATTTGCCATCATGTGTGGGAAATGAACCTGGATCAGCTTCTTTTGGTGGCTGACCTCTGGCGGAACTTGGGCCACAGGGTACCTCGGTTTTTAAAAATCTTTTTTAGTTATCTCAGTATTCACTGGAAAGAGCTTTCCTTACCACAACTGATTCACTTAATATATATTATAGGTGAAAGTCGGCAGGCCCCTCAGGACCTAATGCAAAAACTGGAATCACTGATCCTCAAGTACATAGATCTGATCAATTTAGAGGAGGCTGGTGCAATTTGTTTGGGGTTCTTTAAATCAAGTAGTAGTCTCTCTGAATTTGTCATGAGGAAAATCGGAGACTTGGCCTGTGCTGACATGCAGCATCTGAGTAGTTATGCCTTAGTGAATATTCTTAAAATGTTCCGCTTTACACATGTGGATCACATACATTTCATGAAACAATTTGGACAGATTGCTCCTCAGCGAATTCCTTCCATGGGAGTTCAAGGTGTCATGCATCTGACTCTGGCCTGCTCGGCCTTACGCATCCTGGATGAAAGGGTGATGAATGCTGTAGCTGCTTCTTTGCCTCCTAGAGTAGCACACTGTCGAAGTAAAGATGTTGCTAAGATTTTGTGGTCATTTGGAACTCTGAATTATAAGCCACCCAACACAGAAGACTTTTATTCCAGCCTGATCAATGAGATTCACAGAAAGATGCCTGAGTTTAACCAATACCCAGAACACCTGCTCACCTGCCTGCTGGGCTTGGCGTTTTCTCAGCACTTTCCAGTAGAGCTAATAGATTTTGCTCTGAGTCCAGGGTTTGTCAGGTTAACTCAGGAGAGAAGTAAGTTTGAACTCACTAAGGAGCTGTGTACCCTGGATGGCACAGTTGGCATTGAGTGCCCACATTACAGAGGCAATCGTCTTAACTCTCACCTTCAGCAAGAGGGATCAGAAATACTGTGGAATTTAGCAAGGAAAGATATGTGCTCAAAACCTGAATTCCTAGAAGCTCTCTTTTTACTTGAGACCATGTTGGGTGGGCCCCAGTACATTAAACACCATATGATTTTGCCTCATACCCGATCTTCTGACATAGAGGTTCAGCTTGATGTCAACATGAAGCCATTACCATTCAACAGAGATGCCACATCAATTCAAGATGTAACCAAATTAAAGCTTAAGCATGTGGGAGTCAGCCTTACAGACAATTTGCTGAATCAGTTACTAAAAGGAAAATCAAGAGGGCATTTCCAGGGGGAAATTGAGTCAGAAATTGGGCAGCAGCCCATGGAGTTAGAGAAGAAGGCAGCCACATACTTGGGGGGCTCCCGTGGCAACATGGCAGACAGGTTGGGGGCCTTGGAGATGGCTGACCTATTATGCCCCCCAGCCCACTTGCAGGCCCCGCTAGTGAAGCTGGCTATTCAGTTGACAAATAAGAACCAGTATTGCTATGGTTCCAGGCATCTGCTTGGACTGCACAATATGAAGAGGCGGCAGCTGGTTCGGCTTGGGTATCACGTGGTCGAGTTAACCCATTGGGAATGGCTCCCACTGCTGAAACGAACTCGCTCAGAAAAGCTGGCATTCCTTCATGAGAAAGTGTTTACCTGTGAGCTCTGAAGGACTTTCAGGGCCATTTTTACTTGTACTTGCACTGTACAAAGTGTTACGAGACCATTACAAGAGCCAAAATATAGGTTTGGTAATAAAATGATCTGTTGTAGGTATTTAGTTGTACTCTTGTCTGACAGATTGGAGCTGGTATATGTAACTGAAAATAGTAACCCGGTCTTTTTCATGTTGCTGCTAATTTGTGCATATTACTCTTGGGTAAATAATAAACATCTTAAAATGTAGATAAGTAAGTCCTATTGCATTTTTCATTATCTGCCTGATCTCATGGTTGTTTAGAGTTTTTAGTGTAAAAGTGTAGTCAAACATTGTTTAAAGCCAATTTTTTAAAGGTGGTTTTCATATGCTTTACTTTAAAGTAAGACTCTTTTTCATCTTTCATGGTTTTTTCCTCATGTGTGGGATTGACACAGTGGCTGCAATGATGGGCTCAAGTATAGCAAGGATTGTAAGGCTGGCACAGGACTGGACAGTGTTTCATTCAGTTATATATAAAGTCAGTATGAGTCGGAGCCGACTCGATGGCATCTAACAACAGCAACAAAATTAAGATCCTTCTAATTTTTTTTAAGTTATTACTATCTTTTTTTTTAAATTGTAGAACGTATATATATGTGTGTATATACATATACATACATATATGTTGTTGTTGTTGTTGTTTGCCGTCGAGTCGGCCCCGACTCATAGCGACCCCTCCTTGGGTTTCCGCGGCAGTATCACTACGGAAGTAGGATTGCCCAACCTTCCTTCCGAGGAGTGGCTGGTGGGTTTGAACCGCCAGCCTTCTGGTTAGCAGGCAAGTGTCTTAGCCACTATGCTACCAGAGCTCCCGCATACATATATGTTGTTGTTGTTGTTATGTGCCGTCGAGTCGGCCCCGACTCATAGCGACCCCTCCTTGGGTTTCCGAGGCAGTATCACTACGGAAGTAGGATTGCCCAACCTTCCTTCCGAGGAGTGGCTGGTGGGTTTGAACCGCCAGCCGTCTGGTTAGCAGGCAAGTGTCTTAGCCACTATGCTACCAGAGCTCCCGCATATATATATATATAAATAAAACAAAACATTTGCCATCTCAACATTTTTTACGTATATAATTCAGTGGTCTTAATTACTTTCATCATATTGTGAAGCAGTTGTATTTCTCATTCTTGTGTAGCTTTAGATGTCTTTGTCCTTATTTGCCGGTTCTTCCTCCTTTAAAGAGCCATTTCAGAATTAATGAGCTAAATCTCTTTCTCTTCCCCATTTCTAAGTCTCCTGCATAAACTCCCTCCCCTGGATGTTTTCTCCCTAAAAATGGACATGTTGCTGTTAGTTGCCATCAAGTTGATTCAGACTTATGGCAACCCCATGTGTACAAAGTTGAACTCCACAGGCCTGTCTTCCAAGGCGCTTCGATGTAGGTTTGAAATGCCAACCTTTCAGTTAGTAGTCTTGTGCTTAACCATTTGCACCATCAAGGCACTCCTTTAAAATTGGACCTCTCACTGCCATCGAGTTGTTTCTGACTCATAACGACCCCCATTGGGTTTCCGAGGCTGTAAATCTTTACAGAAGTAGATGACCCCATCTTCCTTTTATGGAGCAGCTGGTGGGTTTGAACTGCTGACCTTCTGGTTAGCAGTCAAGTGCCTTATCTATTATGCCACTAGAGCTCCAAAATTGGACCTAAGAGAGTAGAATTATATAAGTGCCATTGGTCCCAAACCCAAACCAAATCCAAACCCCTACCAAATCCAAACCCATTGTCATAGAGTTGATTCCTACTCATAGCGACACTATAGGACAGAGTAGAACTCCCCCATAGTTTCCAAGGCTGTAAATCTTTATGGAAGCAGACTGCCACATTTTTCTCCCACAGAGCAACTGGTGGGTTTGAACTTCCAGTCTTTTGGTTAGTAGCTGAGCATTTAACCACTATGTTACCAGGACCGTGCCTCCACCACCCACTGCCATCAAGTCGATTCTGATTCATAGTGACCCTATAGAATAGAGTAGAACTGCTGTCCCATAGAGTTTCCAAGGCTATCATTTCTTTTTTTTTTAATTGTGATATGGGTGAAAGTTTATAGAGCAAATTCACTTTCCATATAGCAGCTCACACACACTTTGTCTCAATGACATTGACTGCAACTTCCCACAATGCAACCACTCCCCTCCCACTTCCTCCCCATTGACAATCTCTTCCCTGCGTCCTTCCCTACCATGCACTCCTGCCCCCCCTCCCTGTGCATACACAGCCCTTCTATTCTCCCATAATTAATCTCTCCAAGGAGTATATCTACCTAATGTAAATGCTCAGCTGATATGCCTGTCTTTTGTTTGGAAGCCACAGAAGTAGGTTCAATTCCAGACCTAAAGGGCAACTAGGGGTGGTTCCATCAGGCTCTATCAGACAAGCAAACTTGGTCCCTTTTTTTGTCCCCAATGATTTTGAGTTTTGTTGCGCATTGTTCTCCTACTCTATCCAGGATCTCCTACATAGTTCCTGCTCTGAGTAGTTGATAGTGGTAGCCAGGCACCATCTGGTTCTTCTGGTCTGTCATATCCAAGGCTATAAATCTTCATGTAAGCAGCCTGCTTCATCTTCCTTCCACAGAGCAGCTGGTGGGTTTGAACCACTGACCTTTTGGTTAGGAGCCAAGTGCTTTAGCCACTGTGCCACCAGACCTCTTTAGGACTGTGCCAGTAAGTCCCAAATGTAACAATTAGGCAGAATGTTTTTCATGGTAAGTAGCTTAGATGAAAAGTAAACATGTTACCCTCCCATAATAGGAAGTCCACTGGGTGTCAGATTTGATTGATTCAATCATATTAGAGCCAGAAGCAAAAGGAGGTTGTACCTAGGTAAGTAGCATAATCCAAGTAATTTGTGTAAACCCTTAGGGCCTGTAGGAATTAGTGCATACTCAAATTTGAGAAACACTGATATAAGTAAGTTTTAAAAGCATTTTGTATTGATTTAATATTGAATAGGTAAAAATTAACATGATTCAAAAGGTATTCAATGAAAACCCATGTTTTCCTGCCACATAGTCCCCTGCCTAGAGATTGCTTGTGTTATCAGTTTCTTACATATTCTTCCAGAGGCCCATACAAGGAAATAAATGAACACGTACACACATACATGTTTTTAAATTAATTTTATTATTTTTCTTTTTAACTGAATATACACGTGTGCGTGTATGTGTGGAGAGAGATTCTTCTTGTATTATGGAAAGTGATCTTTCCATTTTTTTCTCTTCTAAGTAGCTCGCAGCAAGGGGCATTTAGAAAAGGCTGGGGATGTTTTTAGTTATTAGAGTAGCTTGGCAGAACAACTGCCTAGGGATATAGGGATGGTCCCCTATAAGAAAGAATTATTATAAGGAAAATGTCAACAGCACTGCCTTCTGTTGAGAAACATTCCATTTGGTGGTTTGTGTATGAGAATTAGTGAGCTGAGGTGGACTGATATTGGCCACTTTACAGTTGAACAGACATACAGACTACTGTGCTGGGAATGACAAATTGAAGAGAGATGGTGTTGCATTCAATGTCAAAAACAACATTTCAGGATCGATATTGAAGTACAGCACTGTCAATGATAGGATAATATCTCTAAGGAAGTGCAGTTAATATGACTGTTATTTAAATTTACATACCAACCACTAATACCAAGCATTCGAAATTGAAGATTTTTCCCAACTTTCTGCAGTCTGAAAGTGATCAAACATGCAATCAAGATGCATTGATAATTACTGGTTATTAGAAAGTAAAAGTTGGAAACAAAGAAGAAGCATCAGTAGTTGGAAAATACAGCCTTGGTGATAGAAACGAGGCTGGAGATTGCATGATTGATTTTGCAAGACCGACAGCTTATTCATAGCAAATACGTTTGATCAACAACATAAATGGTGACTATACCCATGGAATTTATTGGGTGGAATACATAGGAATCAAATCAACTATATCTGTGGAAAGGGACGATGAAGAAGCTCAAACTCATCCATCAGAACAAGCCTAGGGGTCAACTGTGAAACAAACTATCAATTGCTCATATGCAAGTTCAAGTTGAAGCTGAAGAAAAGTAAAACAAATCCACAAGAGCCAAAGTACAACCTTGAGCATATCCCACCTGAATTTAAGAGACCACTTCAAGAATAGATTTGATGCATCAGACACTAATGATGTCAGTGGATGAGTTGCGGGATGATATCAAGAACATTGTACATGAAGAAAGCAAAAGGTTATTAAAAAGACAAATGAAAGAAAAGACCAAAATGGGTGTCAGAAGAGACCCTGAATTTTGTTATTGAACAGAGAGTAGTTAAAGCGAATGGAAGAAATGATGAAGTAAAGAGCTGAACAGAAGATTTGAAATGACAGCATGAGAAAACTATGTATTATAAAGAAATGTGCAAAGAACTGAAGTTAGAAAACCAAAAGGGAAGAACACACACTTGGGATTTCTCATGCTGAAAGAACTGAAAAAAAAATTCAAGCCTCTAGTTGCAGTTTTGGAAGATTCTATGGGAAAATATTGAACAATGAAGAAAACATCAAAAGAAGATGGAAGGAATACACAGAGACACTGTACCAAAAAGAATTCAGAGTTCACCCATTTCAGGAGGTGGCATGTGATCAAGAACTGATGGTATCGATGGAAGAAGTCCAAGCTGTCCTGAAGTCATTGGCAAAAAACATGTCTCTAGGAGGTGACAGAATACCAATTGAGACGTTTCAACAAATGGATGCAGCACTGGAAGCACTCATTCGACTATGCCAAGAAATTTGGAAAACAGCTACCTGGCCAGTCAATTAGAAGAGATCTATATTTGTGCCCCAGTCCAAAGAAAAGTGATCCAACAAGATGTGAAAATTATCAAATAGTATCATTACTATCCCATGCAAGTAAAATTTTGCTGAAGATACATACCTCTGAAGTGGTGGCAGTAGTACATTGACAGGAAACTGCCAGAGATTTAAGCCAGATTCAAAAGAGGATA